CGCCCGGTGGCTGCATAAACAGCGTGCTCGGGAAAGTCCCTTTCTCGACCCCTGTGAGCAAGACCGAGTTCTAAATCGTGCGCTCCAAGTCACGCGACCCTGGATCCCCCTCTCATGCCGTCGAACCTGAACCCGACGAAAGGGCTTTGGGGGGGGGCGGCAGGCAGGCAGACCGCCGCGCGCTGCCCTTCACTGGCCAAGTAAGTGGGTGCACGGTGGCCACAGGCACGGGGCGTCACGAAGGCGATAGAAGGAGGATGGGTAATCGAACAGAACACCAGCGAAAGGGGCGGTCAGCAAGCTCTCGTACCTTAGTTAGATAGCTTCCCACACGCCTTCCACGAACCAGACAGGCCAGACAAGGCTCTGGCACTTGTGCCTCGTTTGTGGAACTGAGGCTATGCCGCGCAATCACTCGACTCTTGGCCGCCTCGTCCCGCATTGTACGAGTAACCTGCTTGACAGAATAACGCCCGATCTCCTAGCCAACTACCTAGCCTCCCTCACGCAATGCGCAATGTACGATACAGCTGCTGCTCAGGAGCTCAGCTGTCCATCCCAGCTACCCGGCAAGCCGGCCGAGGTCCTGCCTCGAGGATGGGTGGCAAACCACCACCCCTAGAGTTCTAGGTTGGTAGGTGGGTAGCCACTGTAGGCACCTACCTACCGCCTCCCTCGGCCGCTGGGGGCAATGCGCTGAGACCGACCGATCCGCTCCCTGAGCCCTGTCACGTTGGTGCGTCAATGCCAGGGTTCACAGTGAGGCGAACCGCCGTCTTCAAACGTCTCAGGCGACCTGTAATGAAAAACTGAATCCCACCCGCAAGCACGCTCAGCTGGGTGGTCCCAGTGGTCCCAAAGATTTCAATGCTGTGCTGTACCTTGGGTACCTCTCGTGCGGACCAGGATCTCTATCTATCGAGGTATCTTGCCTGAACCAGAAAAGGGGCCAAGGTTGAACGTGGCGTGCTCCCTTCTGCCAGTATCGACGCCAGCACCGCACCCGGCATCCGTCTTCTCCCCAAGCCCGCCGTTCTCAGTCATTACCTTCCAGGCTCCCTACCTGACCCCAATCCGCCGATCAACAGGCCAACCACCAAGTGTGTGGTTTGCCTCCTTGAGTCTACCACGCTGTTGCCAGCCAGGCAGGCATGGCCTCGTCACCAGCTCTCGTCTCAAGGTTTCAAATCCCTTTTCCACTTCGCCGTTCCATGCTCCCACCCTGTTCCGTCTCATGGTCTGCCCACGTCGTCTGTTGCGGACCAACCAGAAGGACCGGGGCACGAGGTCCATCCAAATTCCTCTTGCGTTCCGCTGACCCAGATGACCCGCCCGCCTTCAGAGCAGCTAGTCATGCGAAACTGTCCCGTCCCCGAACCCGGCCAGATGCCATGACGACGCTGGTCATCTCGTTACCCGACTGAAAGCCCCCGTCCAAGGTTCGCTGAATAGTCGCCGGACAAGCACTGTCGAGCAGAACAGTCCAGCCCTCGGGAGGGCCTGACCCACCCCCCTGCTGTCTCATCCATCTCTTCTGCGAGCAATAGCGTCCACGTAGACCCGAGGTTGAGGTGCTGATGTCACAACCTACACCAGTGGCGTCTCATGTGGCTCACCCTGTCCTCAAGGCGTTGCGCGGCAAGCCAACAATCGTATTGCTACACCCTTCCACGACTGACCGCTGCCTGCCGTCGAAGGCGGTTGTTTCCAGTCCATTCTTGCCTTTGAGTTGTCATCTATCTAGATAGCTTCCCTGTGTATGTACGTGGGCTGAAGGAAGCCTGCTGCGAACTGCTCTCATCCGAGTGTCCGACACGGATGAGCATGTGTCTCCCTGGCACCTCCAAGGCTGACTGACATCAACCGACGAGCACCGACCCCGAGTCAGTCCTGGGTAGGATGATGGACGGAATCCACGGAGTTTGAGAATGAATGGACGATATGATAAGGCTTGTGTTGCTCCAAAACTGGAACACTGAGCCTCAATCATCTCGTTACATCTCGTTCCAAGAAGAGCAATAATCTACCTCACCACGTTCCTTGTCACCAAGGACGTAAAGCACTTGGCTTGCTTGTATACGACGGTCGTCACCCGCCAATCTGCACCTTGCCGTGTTGCCCGGCGTTGAAGGCATTCTTGGGCCAGTGCTCTCCCTTGAAGTTGGAATAATAACCTAAGCTCATGAAGAGTCCAAAACCTGCAAACCGTGAAACCGAATGAACCAGAACCAACGATTAGGCCTCAATCGCGCAATGACCCTGAGAGCAGCGGAAAGTTGAGCAGCATTGACCATCATGATCACAGAAGGTGCAGCGCAGAAAACTAACGAAGGTCCGTTAGTCTAGTGGTTAGGACGACTGGTTTTGATCGAAGATGACTCCAGTAAGCACCGGTTCGAACCCGGTATGGACCTTTTTCTTTTGGGTACTGAGGCAATGCCTAATATCATCCACAGCAATAATGTATTGTTTTGAAGTGTTACTAGATGTGTGTGGCTGATTTTTGGTCAGTTCGTCCACTACCTAGGAGCCTGTCCACAGGAGGAGCAGATGGGACCTTCAGCTTGCCAACCATCGTTCTCTTAATTCACAGCAGAACTAGCTTGTACCAGATTTGGGCTACCGCTCAGTGCTCAAGGTGACTGGATTGGAACTACTGAGACTAACGCATGAAAAGTCAAAAGCAATGTCCAAACCTGCTGCCCTTGAGATGTCGAGCCAGCAAGACGAATGGACGGTACGTGCCGTATTCTAAGAAGTTCACCGGGTTCAAAAATGTCCTCGCCTTCGTAACAGCACAAGGTTAGTACATGTAACACTCCACGTCGAGGCCGAATGATAGTGATCGAGCCTGTGGGGAAACAGTAGAGTTTTTTCTTGGCACAAGGGTTAGCCTTATTGATCGTAGACAACGGTGGCGCATCAACAGGCCTACCTCGTGTTCAAAGACGCGCAAGACGCCGTGATCCGGTGTCGGGGACAATAGCCATATGATACAACAGCTTTTTGAGTAGACAATAACGGACATTCGAGATCGATTGATTTCACCCTGCAAACATCTTGTTCATCAGGCTTGAGTGTTACATAGTGCCGACCGCTCGGCGTCCGGCGATCTTGGGTTGGTCAACAACTGACAAACACCACCACAAACGCACCCACCGAACAAGACAAACACAGATTCGACAATAGACCGCCTCACTGATCTGCCCACTGAATTGATCATCCTAATTGCGAATAATATATCGTCCCTGAACGCCCTGGCAGCCTTGTCACGATCCTGCTGCTCCATGTGCTCCATTGCCAACCCAATTCTTTACGAACTGTCACTGGCCTCGGGCGCAAATCTGCGAGCCCTCAAAAGGGCCCTGGTGTGCGTTGTTCAAGAGAACAACCTAGCTTCAACCTGCACACTTGCTGCCCACCCCGTTTTCGTTCCAAAGCTCCCCATGAATATGGGGCTCTTGACACTTTCGCTGCACTCAGCCCTCAAGTTTGGGAGCTTGCGAATCGCCAGTATCCTGCTAGGCGTAGATGCCAATGTGCTTTCGTCCAGAGAAATAAATGCATAGGCCGGTGTTCGACACACCGGCGAGAATGAATGGAAGCTTGGAATCGAAGGAGCTGGCAGCCTTGCCACCGCCGCCGGAGTCAGATATTCCAGCCCCACATGTGAGGCATATGCTTCCAAGGAAGACTTTTGGATCATTAAAAACAGACCGTCGAACAGATCCTGCGCCAGTTACAACTCAGAATCAGCACGGGGTTGCCCGCGGATGGCCCAGGCCGGAAGGAGGAATACCAGGATGAGCTGGACTCGGCCTTGAACTCTGCCGTCGGTACGGACGCCCATGTTACAGACTTGATGGAGCTGCTCATCGGATTCGGTGCAAAGATGAACCGTATTTCAAGAAAGTGATACCGTGTACGCACCAAAAACGTCGTCATGCGCGCCATCATGGAGGAGGACCTCGTCTTGTTTAAGGAGAAGGTGTCTTTCCTGGCACAAAACGGGGCGGACTTCCGTAGAGCATATAGATCTGCAGATTGGAGGGAGGTGGAGGTCAAGACGGCGATGGAACGGCTCGATTATAAACTTCGAGACGATGAGCAGACAAAAGACTTACAGATCTCCACCACGCTTGCTGCCATTGAATACCTTCGGTTTAGTGGGGCTAGTCGTCGAGAATAACCATTCTGTAACACAGCAAGACATGCTGAGCCGCCAGCAAATCTACACTCAACACTAGAAGCACTTTGCTTTAAGAAGGCTATTGCTAATAGCTTGAAGACTAGTAAAAGAAGGAACTAGGTGGAGGTCGGGATAGAAGTAAGTACGGATTCATTGATACAGGCTTTGGGAGGTTATTGTGAGAGAACAGGAACAAACATCTAGTAGAGCAGGAGGACCCTCGGGCTCTGGCCCGGAAGCGATAGAGTCTGTATGTACAAATTATGTTGACTACGCTCCCGGTTCTAAAATCGAGGCGAGGGCTGGCGTTTACAAGGGCGTTCACGACTTTCTGAGTCAAGAGAAGACCGTGACGCCCTTGTTTCCGAAGGTCAGCACCGGGGTTCCCATACTACAGTCCAGTAGGACCATGGCCGAGGACTTTCGAGTCTCGCAAAGAAACTAGAAATATGCGAGGATCTCGTAAGTAGCCATATTCAGACTTTTGGTCTACACCTCCACCAGCTGCCAGGCATGACTTATTGTCCTCGGTACCGGCGAGAGCTTAAGCCTCACCAACCACTGTCACACTATCAGCAACAGACAAGGCCTCGTCGACGGAAAATCTCTTTGCCACGTCCTGATTATACCTTCATTGACACACAATTCCATCCCGAGATTGAAGGATGGATCGAGGAGAGGTTCAGACTACCTGGTATAGGAGCACGACGTTGACAAGTATTCAGAGCACAAGAACCTGCTGGTACGAGTCCTCTCCCGAATGTGATTCTCTTTGCTAGCACTTATTCATTTTTCGTGATTGTTATCCGCGTCATCTCAGCACCCTCTCTGGAGATGTGAGGTTGTGATCCTCGATGTTGTCGCTAGCGCTCCTTTCTCAGCGATGGCCGTAGTCTCTTCGCTGCTTGTCGATAGCAAAGAAGGCCACGAGAAATCCATCTCTTGCTCTGCAGAATTGTTGGGAAATGATTCAGATTCCGATTCGCTATTAAGTTTGAGTTGTTCCGAGTTGCAAGGCGTTCGGCCTCCTCTGATGTGTTGCTGAGGTATTGAGTTCATATACACTCCCGCCTACCGATGAACCTAAGTGTGGAAGTTGGAAGGCGAAAGCTATGGGTCGCTGATGCACTTTAGATAGCCCTACAGGCAAGGTTGTAATGGTGAGACGGGCAATAGAAATGTATCATCGAAAAGATTGATTAGCATGTCGTGTCGAGATGCTTTTCGGTTTGCACATATGGACATTGATTAAAAAAGCAGTGATGTTTCCTAAATACATGGTTATGTATTATGGAACTGTAAAATTAACAAGGGTCTGTTAGTCTAGTGGTTAGGACGGCTGGTTTTGATCGAAGATGATTCCAGTAAGCACCGGTTCGAACCCGGTACGGACCTTAATTTTTGCACTTGGCCGAAACGCTAGTTCTCTCCTTTTGCCCCCATAATGTAATATAGACAGACAGACCGCCGACTCACTTTCGATGCCCGAGCCATAGACTAGAGGCTACACGAACACCCTCGCAAACAAGTATTAAAGACCTGTTTATTCTCCACTTACGTGACTGGGCAGGCGAAATCGATCATCCCGGCAGTGTGAACAACTTTATCAAATCTCCGACTGCCCGCCACATAATCGATACAGTGCTTACAGTTCAGCTCTGATCCTTCACTTCATACCAGAATCAATGGCGAATAGCATTGGCCATCGCCCGTGCGAACAGTCTCAAACCACACACACACACACACACGCTCGCTTCAGTGGATAATAACTATACCTTTCAAATCCTCAACGCTGAATAATCGACAGGTACAAAATCAAAAGCCAAGAAACACCACCGTCCCCAGAAACGCCCTTCACATGTTGCTCCTGCAGAGTGGACCGGGCGACAGAAGCGAAAGAACAGCCCAGTCGAAGCATACAGGGACTCCGAAATCCATCATGAAACAGCAAGGAGAATTGTTCGTGAACAGTGATGTCTTAGTACGGAATGAGGAAAGCAAGGATAATCATGTATTCCTCCGCTGCTGTTCATCAAAGTCCGAACCTTACCTCATCCGTCAAACACCTCAGATCCGACAAAACCCTTCCATCATCTGACCCTCCGAATTCATTCGAAAAGTCAATAGTCCTGGTGGATCCCGCGATAAAACAACGACATTCCTCAACGGCGTCTTCCTTTCGATCCTTTTTAATTTGAGGCTTACAGCGCTCATACCGACCCTACATCCAAAGGAAAGACGTTCAAGTAGTCGTGAAAGGCTTCGATGATAGAAATGAGAGCAGCTAGTCGCGGGCCGCTGACGAGAAGAAAGAGTAGAGACGTGGTGAAACCTGTCCGCCACCCTACTGGGGATAGTATACCATACCAGGTGCTTGCTGGGGATAGAAGAAGCCGTCTGGGCTCGGGGTGACCATTCCTGCCATCCCCGGGACACCTGAACCATAGACTGGAGGACCCTGATATCCCTGGTAGTTGTTCGACGGCGGCATCTGAGAGGCATCGTAGTAATAGACCATGCCGTTGACTTCTTGCGCTACCATGCCTGGGTTGCCACCCGGCCCATGCTGTTCGTACTGAGACTGCTGGGGGTAGTTCTGGCTCTGGGCTTGCTGCGAGGCCGGAATGAACGGGACTGCCGAAGCAGGCGATGGCATGACGCCGCCATTGTATGCAGGTGGTTGATAGTATCCAGGCTGTTGCGGCATCATTCCGTACGACTGTTGATGGCCATAGTAGTTCTGCTGGCCATAATGAGTAGGCTGGAACGGCGCAGCGTGAATTGCGCGTTCGGGTATGTGAGACAAAGGAGTACCGGTTGAGAGGTGAGACGGGTAGGATGGCTGGCGAGAGTGTCCATCCTGGCCCAGGCCGTTTGAAACTTGTAGTGGCACTTGCTGGTGGAAGGCCTGGTGGAAGGGCTGCTGGTCCAGGGTTGGCGACTCGATGCCAGCGACGGACACGGTCTTCTGCGGGCGAGGCTGGTGCATGGGGATTGATTGCTGTCGATTTTCCTGGAAAATGGGCTTCTGGGGAAGTGGGTGTGTATGGGGCTGCGGCATGCCGCTCAGCGAGGCGTCTTGTACACCGACGAAATGATCGATAGGCACCATGCCATCGACACTGATTTGCGGTTGCTGAACTGCGGGCGGAAGCCGGACGACTGGGCGTGGATTGTCGAGTGGCATGGGTGGGCGCGAGACCACAGATCCGGTGGGAAAGAACATGTAGTCGCGACCGTCGGGGGCCAACGACGACCGGCGACTAAGGGCAATGCTGGGTGAATAAGCACTGCCATAGAAGCTGCCACCGAAGACGCTGGTGCGTCGAGAGAAGCCACCCATAGATCCAAGGCCTGAGCGAGGCTTGCCGCGGGCCCGCTGCTGGTTGGGACGCATCGCTCTTGGTATAAAAATGAATGACCTGTCGACGGCGGGAAAGATGTACTTTGGCGCGTTGTCGGGAAGCGAGATTCGAACTGGCTTATCGCGACGTAGGGGTGGTCTGTGATCGGGTAACTTGGTGTATTGTCGGACCGGCATGGCGAAGGCTGAAGGGGGTTTACCGGGTGTAATTGAAACTCTGACCTGCACGTTCCCAACGTGCTTCTCGGTAGACATGGTTCTGTTGATCGGTGTCGGGTTCGGGGAACAGGTCGGAATAATGCCGTTGCCATTTGGAGGGCCCTCCTCGTCGGGGGGTGCATGACGGACCGGCCTCGAGGGCTGGGGATTGACGACAACTTCGTGCATGTCGTGAGCCCATTGTCCGCTTGTCAGAGGGTCGGAGGGTGGTTGGAGTTGGCTGATTAATTAGTCTTTGCAGAACAATCTATGACAAGCAGGGCTGAGAAACTCACTGCACTGGGGCAAAGGGGCCTCCAATGCCACCACGACCTCGGCCACGGCCCCGGCCGAAGGGACGAAAGCCGTTCGCGGCTGGACCGGCGTGCCGGTGATCGTGCATGAAGAAAGCCCCTCTGTTTGGAACGAAGGCAGGGTCTTCGTCCCGCCTTCGCTTGTACTCTTCATGCTCCCGCCGGCGACGGTCGCCTACAGGCTCTGCTGTTTGTTTCGCGGCCGAATCGGAAGTCACGACAAGAGGCCCGTTGGATGTGGGTTTCGGAAGGACATCGATCGCGTTGTCGAAATGCTCCCCTTCACCTCCGATGAGCTTGCCTTCGAGAGACAAGCCATGCATCATCAACTGTGTGTCTGAGACAGGCCTGCCATCAGGTTGAGCTTCGGGGACGGGGTCTTTGGCGGTAGGAGCCTTCGCGACACCATTCCTAGCTGCCTTTGATTTCTTCGCGTTGGGCGCAACTGGGGACGTTTCATCGATGTTGCTGGTGTCACTGTCGGCGTCGTGCTCGTTGTCGATGTCATCACTGGCAAAGGACCCCTCAGACATGGAGTCGTCCTCGAGGTCGAGCTGGTCGAGACCACCTTCGTCCTCCCCTTCATCGTCAACCCGCCGCCTGTGGCCGATCAATTTTCGGCGACGGGTGGCGGCCATGTTTGTGTTCGATTTGGGAGCAGGCATAGCTGGAAACAGCCACTAGGATTGAGATTGTGTCGGATGGTTGTACGTGCGTGTCGCGGCGGGCATGCGGCAGATTGACTTTCCAGCGAGAGTACGTGACTCGGTGGTGGAAGCCGGATGGTCGGGGTGGATAAGAGCAAGCAGAAACCGCCCTGCGGCTACGTACAGAGGAAGCAAGCAAAAAGGAATCGAGTAAACAGAGTGCAGTCCGAGAGGCTGGAGAGCTTATTATGAAGGCCGTAGATAGGTGGGATTCAAGGTTGGCGGCAGAGGCTCGTTGAGGTTCTGGTCGAGGTCGGGTCGGGTCGCGCGAACGATGGAAAGTCGGATTCGAACCCAGCTGTGGAGGGGAGTGCCGCTTCTCGCGTCTCCTCGTCCGCGGCGATGACAGTCTGCGTCTAGTTAAAGGGCAGATGGGAATTGCACCACGCGCGTGGGAAGGGCCAAGATGGGAGACGTGGAGGCGGGCGCGGAGGAGATGGCAGCCACGGGATGGTGGAGATGTGGTGATGATGATGATGTGCAAAGGGAACTTGAGAAATTCTTGGGGGTCTTGGACGTGGCCGGAGGTTGGAGAGGACCAGGGGGGGGTGGGAGGTTTGTGTCAGTGTGGAGAGAGAGAGGAGACTTCACGTGTGGTTGCTTTCGTTGCCTGCATTGGCCTGTCATTGTCAGCCTGAGAGGAATGCGCGCAGGTGCCATGGGAGATGCGACTCCCCGCACTGTATCAACCGTAGCCGGCCTGGCATCATCGGTGCGCTATAACAGTGTCTGTTCATGAGCTTGAAACATAATGCACTGTTTTTTCCTCCGCCGAGTTTGGCTTGG